CGACATCATATCTGAAGCATGAGCCAAGCACAGCATGTCTACAGTTTCAGAACAAAAAAAATCATGTTATAAGTATTAAGCAACTCCATTGCACTCTAATTTGTTCATCGCACTCCTGGACTAGAGGGTAGACGCTGATGGTTTCTTGCTGTTTCAATCAAGTGCTTGATAGATGGCTATCACATGTGCTACGGCGCATCTATCACCGGCTGACTCGATCCATCTTCTTAAATTTAAACAACCCGAGAAAGTGAAGTTCTACCTGAGGCTAGGGTTACCTCGGGTATAGTGAATTTAAACAGGTAGGTTATTTCTTCTTAGCAGATGTTGGCAGATTCTACTTGTTGTGCACATGCCAAGTGTGGTTGCTTGATTGTAAACATACCTTTATATATGTTGATAGTCTAGTTAGAACTTGTTGTGTCTCGGTTTGTGGATCTTAAAAAAATATATCATCTATGCTTTTATCCTTGAACTGTTGCTATGGCGATGACTGCCCATGCGTACCTTTCTTGTCACTTTTTAGGTTGTGCGTAGTTTGTTTTAGTCTTGTTGCTAATGACTGACATAGTACTGTGTTATCGATTATTGTCCAGCCCGCGTCGTAAGCCCGACACCTTTATCATCCCCTTCCTCCGCCCCTCGTTCGCCCTTAAGATCCGAAAGACAAATTCAACAAAGATGAATCCATCTTCCTCCACTAGTGACGAAGGAAATAAGGCAGCCCCTAATTCAGGTAACTACAGGATATCCTTACTCGTACAAAATGCCCAGCTGTTGTTCTTGTAAATATAGGTGTGCCTACCATCGGCACCATCACCAAACAAAGAAGGGCTCTAGCCACTACTTATGACAAGAAAAATAGGTGTTGTTACCTGTTTGCATCTGAGATTGCACAATATTGGAGGAACATGCTTAATTGGCCAGTGCATTTGGCAGATATAGTAGTGTTTGTTCTGCTACTAGCATCCTGTACTGTTTAGTTGGTAGGGTATTATATATTTTTCTTCTAGCCAAGAATTATTCATTTTAGATCTTGTTGCATGATGTGTCATGTATATGACCAGTACTACTATTTTTGCATGTTTATATGTTTGTCCATTGACTAGCTTAGCTAGCACAGTAGTGTTCTGTTCAAATTTGAGGCATATATTTGTTCATGGGTGTCTTCGTTCCCATGAGTGTGCTTTGAAACGTAGGGCGAATCGGTATTGTCTTGCTTGTCCCGCTGTGGTAAAAACAAAGCACCACTCTTACTTGATGTGCATGTGTTAATATGGCAAAATGATTGACATTTGTTTGATTTGTCTCTTCTCCGTATAGATAACTGATAACCCAGAAGTATATGGGATCACATTAGTTTTCAAGGGTAGAGTGTAGCGACCCGGCCTCAGACGGTCAAGTCTCTGTGCTTAAGTGTCATCCCTGGATCGGTATGCTAACACACACAGTACTCGAGGATTTATAACAGAGGTAAATCACATGTATAAAGTAACGTAATACTATTACCTCAATCCATACAGCGGAAGAAACAACAAGGAGGTGGATTCCCATCAACACCAACGGCAAAGTTGAGTGTAGAAATCATAACCCTAATGTATCACTTATTCGTCGTAAGAATCCTGCAACATGAGACGTCGCAGCCATGTAGATCAGTACATTGAATGTACTGGAAAATTCACACCATAGGATAATGATGAATAATAACTATCTCTATATGTATTTGGCTAGTGGAGGCTCTAAGTTTATGATTTTGCATAAAGCTAGGTTTTCCCTACAACAAAAGAATAAATTTTATTTAACTACTCCCAAGTTGCCCAATATTTGAGAAGGTAACCCCAACTCAAATCCCAATTAAAAGTATCATCATTAAACCTAATTCAATTAATTAAGGAGTGATGAGATCAAATCAATAATTCAAGTACCAGATTCTCAGGATGTCCATAACCGAGGACACGGCTATTCATAAATAGTTTGTACACTCTGCAGAGGTTTGCGCACTTTCCCCCACAAGACTCGATCTCCTCCGTTGAATTTCTCGCACTACATGATGTTTGAGAAACGGATGACCGAGACACAGTCTTTCAGAAGCATTAACTATTTACTCCGGGTAGACAGTACCACCTACATCCCCCTACATCTGCTAGTCCACCTCTTCAAGATCTCACACAACTTACTCAACTATGCCAGAGCCCATAATGGCTTGTGGCTGCACACGGAAGTTTTTAGCATGAATAATCTTATGATCCCTTTGAGCCTGGGTGGCATTCCATAGGAAGAATCACACGGTAACCCCGAGATCTCCTAGGACAACACTGGATTCCCCAGGTGTCCAGGCAAGCCACTGGTATCCCCAGGGTGCCCCAACCAATCCACCCAGATGTGTATTAAAGTAGCCACCTTTAAGTTAAACCCTTAATTAACAATATCTCTCGCATCTTTCATGAATTCTCTCAAACCAAACCACGTCTACGAGCATAGCATAGTAGTATAAGCATAACGTAGTAACACCCAAGGGTTACAATAGGAACCTACCTCATCAACTATTTACCAGTACCCACATGTTATCAAACCTACTCATGCAATGTTGGAGGGTTGAAACTAATGCATAAAAACTGGGTATGAAAAATATGATCAAAGTGTGAACTTGCCAGTACTGTTGATGAAGATGTTTCGCACTCATAATTCCTGATAGTTCTACTCGTCACACTCCGTTCAATCTATCGTGAGCAAGCAATTACATGCATAAGCATTCAAGCAAAAGATGCAAATGGCAATCAAGCAAATATTCAAATAAAACTCTAAAACAAGCAAATAACGAATCTAAACAGAAAGCAAATTTTAACAGCACTATACTTATGTGGATTAGATCTTAACAGTAGGTACATGTGATTAGCTACGATTTGCAAAAAGTATCAACTCAAACGGAGTTACGAAACTCAAGAAACAGACGAAACAAGATGAAATACTAATTCGAACTAAACTCAAATTTTAAATTGTCAAAAACATGTTCAAGTTGGTTTACTGGACAGAAGGGATCGTTACGAAGATTTAGGCGTTGGTTTCCTCGAAAACGGAGGTACAGATAAAAAGATATGATCAAAAGAAGTTTGAGTATGAATCTGAACAAATTTCGAAATTTGAAAGTTGCAAAAAGTTTATTTGATAGATTCACTAGATAGGTGGAATCAAGACGAAAATATTGACGTTGGTTTCGTCTAATTTGGATGAACGAGTAAAAAGTTATGGCTATTTGAAAAATCACGGCCAAACTGTTTTACGGAAGAAAAATATCTACATAATAAGCTACGAGAGTATTTAAAACAAAAAAGAGGCTAGCCAACTCACCTCCAGGAGGCTCCCCGACTGGGGTTTCGTCGGCCGTCCGATCTGCCTTTCTGGTGCGCCTAAGCCGTTGGATCTTCACTTGCGGTTAAATTATTTTCACCCCACGGTTAATTTTTCTGCCCAATGACTGGTGGGCTCGTCTCGTGTCTGTATTGGCTGGGTAAGCGGAGCCCGGGTGAGAGAGAATTTGTCCCATCCACGGGCCGCGTCCGCACCCAACACAACCCAATCCCCTCGTCCCGCACGCGGTGCACACTCCGGTCCCCTCATCCCGCATGAACCCTAGGAGAGAGAGAGATAGGAAGATGAGAGGGAGAGAAAGGGGAGAGGAGAGGAGAGGAGAGGGAGGTCCGGCAGCGGACGGGAGAGGGTGACCGGTCGGCGTCGGCCTACACCGGCGAGGCGTCAGTCTGCGCCCCTCGCCGCGCCCGGCACACCTCCCTCCTCCATTCCCCCCGCACCCCACCCCTTCCCCCCCGAGCTTGTTTCTCCAGCCACCGCACCGGAGCGGCACGGCGCTCACGCGACCATCGACGGGCTATGAAGGAGGAGGAGCCATGGCATGGAGGTGGTGGCCACTTGGTAGCCTTCATCTGCGGCGTCATACCACTACCGGGGTGCCGCGCAAGAGGTCAGGTCCGCCGCCACCGCGAGCCAGGGGACGCCCGTTGGTGAGCCTGCGTGCAGGAAGCCGATAGGGGGGCACGGCGTCAACAAGCCGACAGGAGGCGGGGTCTTCCCGCTGGGATGGAGGAGCAGGCGATGGCCAGGAGGCCACCGGTGGGGGAGCAACAAGGCCCGAGCTCTAGGCTCCGCACACATTGCGGGATGGAGAAGAGGCTGGCGTGGGGCGCAAGGAGCAGCAGGGGAAGAACGGTGGGGCTTTCATCTCCTCTCTCATCCCGACTCCTGCAACCTCGCCACTGGTGCTCGCTCGGCCAGTGTATGGATAGCGGCCGGGAGTTTGGCCCTCGGCACGAATTCGACCCACGAGTCTAGCTGACGAGCCCCATGGTTGGTTTGTCCTCCTACCTCCAGATCCCCTCTTACTCATTCTCCTCCTCTCCCCATATTTTGCTCTGTTGTTTGTGTTCCTTCAATTTGCAGGGATTGTGGGAAGCAAATGTACGTGGGTGAGTTATTTCTTTTGTGTGAAAGTCTCTTCCATGCTGGTCTATCAATTCCTTGACGCTTTGTTCATGACTGACTCTGTTCTTGTTTTATCTTTTTTACCTTTGCAGGGAGTTGTTCTACTCTCTCCCTCGAGGTAAGTTTGCTGGGCAGTGGCTTGCTCCTGTCGTGTTTTGGTAGTTTGACCGAGGTGTATGGTGTACCTGGACGAACAAGGAACGTCCCAGCCACTGGTACCCTACTTTGTTTTGTGAAATTTTTGGTCTTTGTTTTGATTTGGTTGTGTGGCTGTCCTTGCGATCCAGGTGGGTTGAGTTGCGGTTTAGGTGGAGATGTTGGTGCTGTTTGAGACGCCCACTAGGTTCGCCGTTTTCAAGGTTCTGAACAAGGGCAAGCTCGACAAGATCAAGGTGAGTGCTCACCGTTGCCTGAGCTCTTGGTTTGGTTTGGATTACTCACATTGATCTCTGCCTGTTTCCTGTACCGATAGAGCTTTGTGTTCATCTTTTTCTGTAGGATCTATGGAAGGAGTTCACCACATCGGACTTGGCAAGAAAGGTTTGTGCTTCATTTTTTATTCTTTCGACGGCAAAATAACTTCTCTTTTCAAAATACTCAGCACATGATCTATCTATCACACTATAATAGAGGAAGTCAGCAAAAGTCGTTTACTTGAATGAGTAAGAATCCATGGTGTGCTCCTGAGCTATATGTCCCTTTTCCAAATGTTAGAAAGGTTATCTGAAATTAGTTGTCGCATAGAACTTGGTTTGGGAAACTAGGCTCATTTGATGTTTGCATGACTTCTTTGAACCGGAAGGAACACTCTACAACTGAACTCACTTAAGCAGGCTGATAGATGGCAAGTGACATCCATAACTGCACTTACTTTTTGTGAGCCTATTTTCTCAAAATAATAAGAGGCTGAATGGTTCAGTTAGACACTGTGCTTCTTCTTAGTGATATCCACTAATTTTTGTTAGGAATATATAAAGTTCTTGATAAGCTGTTGAGAGAATTCATATGCCTCTCAGTCCTATTTCTTATATTCTGATACTTTTTTTAACTGACTCAATGTAAACTCACGCAATATAACTTCAAGCAAATAGGCTCAATGTTCAGCTCCAAGGAATAAGCAGGCCAGCGGACATGCATCCGCTGACATCCTTATTTCTTGTGCAAGCTTGATGGATGTGACAATGCACATCACAAATGGTTCATTCCGTGTAACCATATGTGATGCAAGTCACCTCACACTCCAGCGGCTCGAGCGTATCTCATCGCACACGATCATGTTTTGGCAATTATCGCACACACTTACCAGCTAACCTTGTGTGATGAGGGGTGTTAATAGTCTTGCTCTGTAGTAGTGTGAAGATCTGGAGGACGCAGGCCATGGCCTCCAGTCTGCTGGTCCAAGATTTGTCTCCTTTTTTTCATGTGTCTGCCTTTTTTTATTTTGAAAGCCATGTGTGTTTTAATCTGAAAGTTGTGAGAATTTTTCTGTAATTTGCAAGGAATTTTTTGGAAGTTGTGAGAATTTTCTAAAAGGTTTGCAAAGATTTCTGAATGTTGTGTCCAAATTGATGGAAGTTGTGAGAATTTTCTGAATGTTTCATCATACACATTACAGTCAATTATCCATTTCGTTCAGCATGGTGGCCAAGATGCGGCAACCCCATGCTCTGTTCCGATGGGACTCCTCTGCCCGATGGTTGCCGCTGGTTGAGGTTTGTACTTCTCTTATTCGCATGTTCTTCGCCGCTGCTTTGGATTAATTTGTCATGCTAATTTCGCATGTTTGCCTTTGTTTCGTTCGCGCGCAGTTTGGTACGGTTTCCTGTTGTTGCTTGTGTCGAGCCATGGGTCCGTCTCTCCTTCGCACTGAGGTTAGTCCACTCCTCTTGTGCTTGCCTATAAAATGTTTGATGAAATGCGTGTGTGCTGCTTGATAAAATGCGTGTGTGTTGACGCCTGTTCCACGGTTCAGCCTACTTCTCCTGTCGCTGGCGCTTCTTCTTCTCATCCGTCCTGCTGCTTACCAAAGTGCTTCTGCTTGCTGCCTCGGGTAAATAGGCTGTTCTGTTGCTTCTATGACTGTCGAGTGTTCATTGCATGCCTGTGTGTCGTTGTGCTCTGACCGATTGTTTTTTATGTATTTCGCAGGTTGTACGATCTCTTCTGTCACTATCATTCGACTCATCAAGGTTTCTTCTTTTCTTTCTACTACATGTGTGCGTGTTTTACTTTCAGTATCTTCTATGTCATGCTGTCTGCCTTGGTGATCTTTTAAATATCTGTATTTTGTGCTGATCATTTAAATGTTCCGGATATGGTCGGGCGTTGTGTGTTGGTCGTTCTCGTGCTACTTATATTTCGTGTATGCGTGTGAACAGGGTGTGTATGCTTGTTTCCGTTGTTATACCTGTTTTGGAGGCTATGGGTAGCTCGATGCGCTTTGCCGTCCCTTTCATATCTGTGTGTAGTCGCAGAGGATGGCTCTGTTCTTGCTGGTGTAGAACTCGAGCTCCCAGTGGGACAGATCTGGTCCTATGGAGAAGCTTGATGAACAAGCCGAGGTGCAGCTACTTTCGACCCCTCATGCTATATACCCATATATACACATGTCTCCCACTTGATTGGTTTTGTCTCACACACAAGGCGAGCTCTGGTGGTAAAGCTGAAACTTCATCACCTACTGTTGAAGAAAAGGATGATGACAATGACCAGGCTCAAGTGATCAGAAACAAAAGGTGCTACTTTTTATGTTGTCCATCTACCTGCGCAGCCACCTAAGTTACTTCCCGTGCCAACAAGACCAAATAAACACGAAAATAAAAAGAGTTCTTTGGTGTACACTCATGCTACTCTGAATAATTGCTGCAGAATGAAGTGGCAAGCATAGAAGAAATGCAGAGCCAGTTTCCCTCGGATACAGTGTATTACACTGAGTCTGAGGATACACAACAGTCTATTGAGGTTGGTTAATGCAATTAAAAGGTTTTTACTATAGATCTTACTTCTTTAGGCTTGTCTTCTCTTACTGCATGCTCTTAGTTACAAGTTATGTTGGTTAATATTGATCATTTCGTGAATTAGATCAGTTCTTGTTGCTATGACCTGGGCAATGAACAGCAGATGCAGTTTGCCTCATTTCTAATGTTCCCTGTAAACACTGTTGTGAATGGAACATCTTGAATTGATCACTGCTTAATATGCACTGGAATTCCTTTTTTTAGATATAATTTCCTACAATACTTTTGTTGCTTCACAGAATTTCGATGGTTGCCTTCAGTAATGTCGACTATTTATTGTGGGCGTCTTTCCTATGCCAATTTTCTTTTCTATAGCAGCCTAGCAGGCATGGTTTACCCATAGGTTTCTGTTATTCTTATGTTTTGGGTTTCAAATAAATTGATGTCATTTTAGGCTATGCCTTACATTCTCTTCATACTCTGCAAATTAATAGCATCCATTTAAAACCACAGGCTACTCCACCATCGGTGAAAATCCCCAACAGAATGATGCTGGATGTCCTTGTAGAATCTTTGGGCCTGCCATTGGCTGAGTATCGAACCAAAGTATGCGAGGATGGTTTGAAGTTACAAAGAATCCCATTTTTGTTCAGATATGCACGCCCTTTTGTCATCTAGAATCCTTGCATTTAGTTTTATATTATTGATTCAGGTTTAGCTATTTAGATCAAAACTGTAATCTTGCTTGTAGATTGGACAGATTATTTCTCACTTTGAGGACTCCGTTTTGTTCATCGGAAAGTTTTTTCCCAGTGTGGTTCTTCCAAAAATGAATTGAAATTACTAAGATTCATGCAAGTTACTTGGCAAAGAAAATTTTTGTCTGCATAGTGGATACATGTACTGATCATAGATTCAGATGTAGGCTTGGTTTCTGTTATCTGAAAACACACATTATATTGCCTTTGTTTTTACATAAAGATGTAGATGTTGAGAAGTATATTATTTTGATTGTTGAGTCGGTCTATGGTGTAACTTCTGGTTTTTTCTTTTGTGGATACATTTGTAAAGAAGTGACATGGCTTAAAAACCCATATTAAATGTTGTGAAGAAAAACATATTAAATGGTGTCCTTGAATAGGGAATAAAAGTGGGAGCAGATTGACTCTTTTTAGTGCTCGTTCAGATGTAGGTCAGGTGTTCTATTATCCAAAAAAACACATTATACTGCCTTTGTTTTTACATCGAGGTGTAAATGTTGAGAAGTATATTATTCTTATTATTTTTACCATATGTGCATGCTCATAACTAAAACAACTAATTCATATATTTTTTTACAATGCGCACATGGATTCAAAAATATCCATGTAATTCCAGCGACATGATTTTGAATGGGACTTTGTACTACCAAATTATAATGTGTATATACATCTCATTAGAGACAATATAATACCGTTGTTTCATACTAAAAGGGATTAGATTTGTTACATAGATTTTGTTTCAAATAGAACTCTATGCTAGCAAGTTTAAATGTGTATATACATCTATTGTAGACAACAAGCCCCTGTTTTTCCCAACTAAGAGAGATTAAATTTGTTGTCATACGTGCTTGCCTGTAACAAAATCAACTAAACCATGGGTTTCTTTTCATTGCTAACATGGAATCAACAGGTCTTGGCGCTATTTGGCGCAACGGTTTCACAGGGCGATAACCATATTTTAGCATTCTATTATAAATATCTAATAGGTCCTTGCAAAATGAAATTATTTTTATCGACAACATGGCTTTAGCGGGTCTCTGTGTCATTTGGCGCAACGGGTCAACTAGTATATAAATAAAATACGAAGAAAGATACCTTTATAAGGTAGAGAAAAGACGACTTCAGAGAGAGAAGACAACATCTAGAAGTCTCGCCGGAGAGAAGAAATATATTTTTTAGCTAGTCAAACCAAAATATTGATTTAATCTGTAGTGGATGATTTTGGAGGCTCTACGGGTCTATATTTATAGGTAGAAAAGAGGTTTAGGGGTAAAAGGCTAGGCAATGTGGGACTAAACATATACACAGATGAAATTGAAAAAGATCATGTGCATGGGCTAAGAATTCGGCGAGCCGCGCGCGTACACTGCGCGACAGTTTTTTTTCTAATATTTTTCTTTCCTGAAATCTTATTTTTTGAGAAAAACATAAATAATAATAATAATAAATTGTAAACCTTAAAACAGAGGTAAATAAAATTTTGGGGCATGCACCCTTCTTGTTTACTTCGCGACCATCAGTTATCGATATCTTCCATGCTAAACAAATTAGTAGCGGTTCCCAAGCGCTAAAGTAAAGGTTATTGCTTCATAGGAGTTTTTGTTTGATTATTGATAAGTTCTTTTTACAATTTGAAACTGGGAATCCCTATTACCGCCCCTTTTCTCGTGCAATGGTGAGTGAATAAGCACCCATCCTGAGAATAACCTGCTTAGCATGGAAGATACCAACTACCTCATGTAGCTCTATGAACAATCCAGGCACACAAAAATGATATTTATTTGAAGTTTTTAGAGGTGGCACATGCAAATTTACTTAGGGCAGCAGGGTAATACTGCATATAGGTAGGTATGGTGGACTCATCTGGAATAACTTGGGTTTTAGGTTTTTGATGTACAAGAAGAATTCCCACTTAGTACAGGCGAAGGCTAGCAAATAGGTTAAGAAGCGGCCAGCTAGAGAGCAACAACGGTCATGAACATGCATTATGCATACGTAACATTGGATACTAGCATGAGTAGGATATGAACACCATGAACATAAATATCATAGAGGATTTGTTGGTTTTGATTCAACTACATGCGTGAACATGTGCCAAGTCAAGCCAGTCGAACATTCAGAGGAGGATACCATATCTTCATACTACATCACAATAATTTTAACGCAATGTTGACATCCAAGATAAATCATTATCCACTCCAAGCTACTTATGCATGGCATGAGAAACTATAATCTCTAATTGTCATTGCAAACACGTTTGATCATATTAGGCTGAATCATGGATACTGGGTTAAACGTATTTACAAAAACAGAACAAATCGAGTTCATACCCGTTTCTCTCTGCCACGACCAGTTCATCGAATATCGTCATTATTGCCTTTCACTTGCATGACTGAACAATTTGAAAATAATAATAGTGCAAGAGTGTCGTGGACTAAGCTGGAATCTGCAAACATTTTATTCAAAAGGAAAAGACAAGGTAATATGGGCTCTTCGTTAGATCAATAATAACGCAAATGAGAGCCACTCAACATTTTCATCGCCGTCTTCTCCTCGGTAAGACTCAGTAAAGAAAAAAGAAATTCAGAGAAACACACTGAAATATTTTTGGAGTTTTTGGTTTTTTCATAAACAAGCAAATGAAAAAGGAAAAGCAAAAACAAGAAAAACTATTTACATGGGAAAGCTCCCAACAAGTAAAAGAAGAACAAGGAAATCTTTTCGAGTTTTCTTTTTAGTGCTACAACAATTTGAACTAGGAAGAAAAATCAAAAAGAAGAAAGAAATATGTTTTTGGATTTTCTCAAAGTTTTTCAAACACACAAGCAAAAAGCGAGAAAATAAATCTATCATGGATAATACAATGCAAAAGTGTGAACACCGATAACTAGAATGAAATGTGTGAACATGAATCTAATGTCGGTGGAAATACGTACTCCCCCAAGCTTAGGCTTTTGGCCTAACTTGGTAATCACTAGTCGTAGAAGCCATGAGGTCCTATGTTGAAGTGCTGGGGAGCGGGCACCTGAGGGTCCCACTGCCGAGGCTCCTGCTGTGCCGCAGTCAAGTTGTTCCGGTAAGCGACAATGTCCTCAGTTATAATCTTGTATCCGCCCCTGGCAATATGAACAAGCAAAGAAGGTGCAGGCAGTGGAATAATATCATGAGTTTTCTCACTGAAAACTAAGTTATAGGGAATAGGAATATCAGGGTAATCGACGGCAATAAACTGGTGGTCGTCCATAGCCGCTCGATCTTGGTAAACCTTGGGCAAAGGGTGATCATGCTGGTGTATTTGAATGTTAAAGTGAGTCGCTAAGCGAGTAGCGTAAATGCCCCCATGTATTTTACCCTCGGATCTGTTAATGTGAAGGCTGCATGCCACAATAGCTCCCAAACTATAAGCGTTGTCGCCATAAAGTGCACGACGTAAAACAACAAAGTCTGGAGCACTAAGTGCACCTACCTTCTCTCTAGCAAGTAAGCAGTTTGCAATGAATATATCAAAATAATGTACGGCAGGAAGATGCAAGCTAGTAGCAGTGACACCCAATACCCCTGTCCCATCTCCCACTGCCAGAGTACGGTAAAAACCGCCAAACTCCGCGGGCCTAGACCTACCAAACCACCATCAAAAGGAAGCATGCATATGTCACAAAATTCAGTAAGTGGTATCTGATGGTTTTCAGCATACAAACTAAACTGCACCTCAAGGGGATTATTCCTAGAATGAAAATGAAAATTTTGCACAAAGGAATTTGTGAGGAGATGATACTGTTCGCATTCAGCTACGATGAAGTCGGTGAGGCCAGCATTAGCAGCGTATTGTGCAAACTCTTGGAGGATTCTGGACACTTCCATGAATGGATTATGCGGCCATTCACACGGATGTAACTCCGCCAATCTCCGGATGTGGAGATCACTGTCAGATGACTCCACAATAACTCCCTTGAAGTTCTTCTTGGAAGCAAACTTCCTAAAGAAACTCATCTTTTTCCTATGAACAAAACTCCAAAAATTTTAGTCCACAATTTTTTCTCAACAAAACTTCATAAGATTGTAAGAAAATACTCATAGGGATGTATAGAGGGCATAGCAAGCATTCAAACTACTTATAACTCTAAGAATTCAACATGCAACCTCATCTACAACAGCACCAAGAGTAGCCA